TGACTACAACTGAAGCCATGATTGGACCTTTAGATGTTGACAGCTGCCAATCCCTCCCTTGCCTTTTCCCGTCAATCACGTGACAGTTGGTTAGAATAGTTGCGTTCTGTGCCAGAGCTAAGCTGGCCAACGTAACGGGAATTCTCCATGGATCCACAATGCTCTCTCCAGGCACATGTACAGCACCAAGAGCATTACTATTTAAGTACGCTTCGTTCTCAAGAAGTTCTTCAGCTGTTATCTGCCTTACGTCCGAAACTCCTGCTTTGTGAGAAATAGCCACAATTTTCGGCAATTTCTCCAGATCTTCTTCGTTCCATGCCACAATAAAGCCCCCAGATTTCCTGTAAGGGATGTTGTGCTTCGAGAAAAAGCTTTCGTTCAATTCTCTCGCTGATTGAAGGCATCGTAACTCTAAACTACCGAGTGGCGCATCAAATCCCGTGTGAAGAGTTCCACTGTTTCCCGAGCTAGCGCCACTGACAAGATTCTCTTCTTTTTCGCAAAGAACACATCGAAGTCCTAGAGAAGTGAACTCGTGAAGAACTGAACAACCTACAACTCCTCCTCCCACGATGGCCACATCGAATTTCCTGTCCTCTTCCATGACAGCAAGATAATATATCCTATTCCCTAGTAGTTCTATAGATTCCCTTTCAATTCTCCTGATATTTTATAAAACTACATTGTTTTGATCAATCCTCTCTGGTAATTTTTCCGAATTTTTTTTTCCATGATCTCGTGATCTCAAGCAAAATTAACTTGAGCCAGCAAGCACAATTACCACTTCATACGTTATGTATGTGGAAACGGTTGGGCTGACGGCTATGAGCGCTCTGCGGCTGTAAACTCGTAAAATACTAAAACATTTTAAGTTTATTTCATAAAAGGAATAGGGCGCACTTTCTATCGGTTTACCGGTTTAATGTTGGGAGAACACGAGAAAAGTTTGTAAATCGCCCACTCGCCTCCGGCTCAACGTCCCAAGCGGGTTAAAAGGCTGGTGATCATGATACCGAGTGAAAGTGCGGTCTATTCATTAAATGGATTGAAAATGCAATTAGCAGAGGTGACAACTAAACAACTGAAAAAAGGTCAAAATATCCTCGGACATTTTAAGTGTTCGCGGACATTGGCTTTTCAGAGAGGAGGAATGTTTTCCAAGAGCGAACTTGCGGAAAACTGCGAGCTTTGTGGATAAGATAAGGCGCTAGCAAAAATATGAAGGCACTTTTTCGAGTCAAAGATTTACATTGACTGTACTAACCATCAGGTTTTAAAACTGAGGGGTATGATTCGACTTTGACCCTATTAATCTTCAGTTCTGATAAGGGTATAACTCGTTAAAATCAATCGCCCGGGAGGGCAATACTTTATGCCGTTACACGCCTAAGTTTTTTTTTTAATGGTGAAAAAACCTTTATAAAAAAGAAATCCAGCAAGATCAGAAAACATTTAGGACTAAAGTAAAAGGTATTTAGTTCGTCTCCGCCGATTTTTTATAAAGATATTATTTAACTTGAACCGTTTTGAATGCACGTTTTTTATTGCATGCGAAAAATCTCCCCAAACCGCTACCGAGCTTCGAAGTGTTTTCATCATATTTAGACGTGGAACGGAGGACTATATACCACTAATAAACCTACTTTGTTGTTCATCCTTCAGAACTGACTATGTTCAGAAATATCACTGAATTACATTCGTATATATTTTGAAAAGTAATCATACCAATAAGAAAATAAGCTACGGTCGACTGCGAACGTTCTTTGCAGCTGTGGAAACAGACACACTTCCAACGCCTCCTCGTTCTCTTACATAAATCGACAATAGATTGATGACAATCACTGTGTTAGGTTTGTAAAACATCACTCGCTCGGTGACATATTTAAACTAGGGAAGTTGGTATTACAACTACCGACACATTGTTAAGAAATTGACAGTAGGGAATTCGAAAGAACTCAGTTTATTCGACTCTACGTGTTTTTCATGACACAGGTTGAGTTTACACTAGTGGAGAGAGATGTTTGCTTGAATCTTAGAAGGTCCAATATAGTGTAAGTACAGTAACCAGCCTCAAACCGTCGGATAAACAAGTCTTAGAGATGACAAATAAAACCCGAAATTTTCACAAGTCCATATAAATGATTGGACCCATCTTTATTAGTGTCGGGAATGTGACAGTCAATAAATTTTAATTTCCTTTATCTTAAAGCAAATAGTGTGGCCTATTAATGAAAAAAAACCATTCACATTGTGGAAAGTATGAATGTTTTACACAGCTGTTCTGTTGCCGCGTAACCTCACATGTCTAAGACATTGAATATGAATGCAAATCAGCAAGAAAAAAGACGACGCATTAATCATGGTTTGCCTCTTCCACGAAGAAAGTTTAATTTATCGTAGAGTTCGGTGCATATTGATAGTTTCATAGAATCAGGAGCAGGGTGAGTTGTAACTCATGTACGAAACGAACTTAAATTTGTGCACTGAAGAGGAATTTTTAGGGTTATATTCTTCAATTTTTTTCAGCTGGCTGTCATAATACCACTGAATATCTTCCTACGCTAAAGAACTGATCCGTCACTCTGGTACGAAATCGCGTTTTCATTTTGCAAACTTTACTACCTATCGAATTCCTGAATCATTTTTTCATAAATCAACGTCTGATTTTATCTGGTGTGCTTGATTGTTGCAATGATTTACTGTAAGATAGAGATTTATCTTCCGTGAATTTTAGGTAATTCAGCGGCGACTAGATATTTTAATTTTATACTGTGTTCTTGATAAGCTTAGATAAAAGGGAATGTATGGAAAAGATAACTCGATAAGGATTGAACGTTACTAGAGGGCCTTGTGCCTCGAACTATCGTCGTATTAAACTATGTGAAGCGCTCCGTTCGCCCTTCCCGTGCGGTAGGGTAGTTTATCGGGTGCGTTAGCCACTGCTTTGCATACCATAAGATACTAGGTTAAAAAACGAATGGAGTCCGGTATATCTAAACAATTCTTAACGATTATTCAAGCGGTGCTCAGCAATTGACTTTATGAGTAGATTTCAGTTAAGTTCATTTGAAAACTGGTGCCTTGAATGAGTACTGAAAGAGCTTTTGTGAAGTTGTTGATTTGGTTTGTAGCTGCGCAGTCCACGAACCGAGTTAGTTCCTCTGATGCAGTTTTGGTTGAGAAAATTAAGCCCATCCAGGAAAAGAACAAATCGCCGCGTTGCTCTTAAGGAATAACAGCTGCTGATGGTAATCATTACCAACTGTTTCTTTCTTTGTTCTAATGACAAAAAAAAAAGTCAGTTGTTTACTTATGGTACCAACAATGGGGTTGGCGTTGTTTTCTGGTAAAACAAGAGACAACAAATGACCCACCAGAAAGTTTGCATAGCATTACAATAAATTCGATTGAAATCCGCTTGTGAAAGAAATGTTGCTTTAATAGAGCATCAACATCTAAAGACAGGATAGTGACAAACGCTCCAGATAACCGAACAGCAGGAAAAGAAACTTCAAGTTGGGCTTTTTTAGAAAAATGCCTTTTGGATTTTCGCACAATGTCAAACACTCTTCGGGTAGGTGCTATAGGATCATCGCAATTACTGTGACCGCTGAACATCAATTAAGTGAGAGAATAGCAAATTTATGAATAAGTATTTAAGGTTTGCTTACAGTCGTCGAAAGAGAAATGTCCAAGGATAGAAAACCTTGTCATTATTCAGTAATCATTCCTGAATAATGATTATTACTGACTAGCGGACTGCCGGAATCATTCCGGCAATCAACTAGTCAGTCACGTTTTGCTTATCAAATGTGATAGAAGAGAAACACTTGAAAAAGTGAAAACTAAAATTTCGTACAGGGTATCATCTGAATCTAAAAAGTCGATGACATGAAATCGCTACCCTTGTACCCGAGCTGATCATGATTGCTGTTCAGTCCTTTTTATTTTACGGCGAATACAGTACTTGTTTACGGTGCAATTTTGAAAGGAGCGTCGAGATTAAACCAGGTTTGCGTAGCTTTTGATTTTATTTTGCTATGTGACTGGTTAAAGCGCATCGCACCACTTTTACAACCAATCAGATACAAGACCTAAACACTTACATCGCATTACTTTGGTTTTGGTTAATTTCACTTGCTCGAATTAAAAACTCTCGTCAGCCAACCTTCGCTCTCCCTAAACTTTGACATCCTAGAGTAAGACATAATAAACTGGCTGTGACGATCGAAATGTCAGTTTTAATTTTTTCCACGGTGGCCAATTCATATTATCAACTGCTTTGATAAAACGAAATTATATCATAAAATTGTTTAGCTTAA